TTTAAAACCTTTGTTTAAATCAAAGGGTAGTTGCTTTTTAGAAGACTTAAAACAAAAGCAAAAGTGAATTTGAATAATCATTAAAAACATTATAATTTTAATCATTTTATTTATCAATTTTGAATAATATGTTTTTTTTTCATTTCTTTATTTTTAAATTCTTAAGATTGATAAGTACATTTTTTTCAACAATATTCCATTTCAAGCAAGTGATTAAACCATTTTAGTTAAATACTATTTAAATATTTGATAAACATTTGAGATATCAGAATTAACGGTAATAAATTAATATTTATAGATATACAAGACACTATTAAATTTATAATCTAAACAGAGTATAGTAACTTAATTTATTACAATATATAAACAGACTAAGTCTTAATTAATAGTTTAGTAAAATTAAGATTTTTTAGTTTACAAAAAGGAAAAGATACAATAATTAAGATAACATTTCAAAAAAGAATAAACATAATCCTAGAAATATAAATTAAACTGTAACATTATAATTACTCTACTTTATTTTTGACTGAAAATATTTAATATTCATCAATTGGTTTTATATACCTTAAAAGGATCAAGATTTCAGGAGATAATTATTATATCTTCCCCCTAACAACCATCTAATAATCTTAAATGCTGATTAACTCAAGCTCAATGTGAATCCTTACATAAATTCAAAGGAGCTACCTTCAACTATAATTCGTTATATATCACTCAGACTTCATAAAATCTATATTATTTTCAAATGAGCTCATCAACTATCAACTAGTACAATTTTATAATTAAATTAATTCATTGTGAAGTAAAGAAATTACCCTAATTGTTATTGTATATTCATAAACATTATGGATAATGTTAAAAAAATAACAAAATTGACTTCAACTAAATTTATTGATATTATGCATATGTATATGTATTTTCTCTAGTTACACCCTCATATACTAGTGAATTTAAAACCAAATTGGCAAGTTTCTTGTAAAAATTTGTCTATAGAAGGAACCTCTTTGTATTGATATTTTTGAACAATTATGATTTAGAATAAATTGAATACATTAACAGAAAAATTCACAATAATTAAAATAATATGTTAGTGTTTTGAATTATTTGTGTTATTTTTATTCTATATTCCTTAAGAATCCAATTATGCATAAGTCTATGTAAATTTTCCCTAATATAATTTACATCAACCCTAAATTTTTGTGGTATTGCATTTCTTCCAAACAATAATGTTCAAGATACATTTTTGATTCATAGTATAAAACTCCAAATAAAGTAATAGAAATTCAATATTAATTTTT